GACCCCGCTGAGCCTGTGAGATGTACCTGTGACCCCGCTGAGCCTGTAGAATGTACCTGTGACCCTGCTGACCCAGTGAGATGTACCTGCGACCCCACTGACCCAGTGAGATGTACCTGCGACCCCGCTGACCCAGTGAGATGTACCTGCGGCTGCTGTTTGACCCTCACCTGTTGGGGTCAGCGGCCTGCAAGCCACTCTCACTCGTCACAATGACTTTAGACACCAGCTGCACTCCTGGATTAGGCTTCTTCTTTCCCTCCTCCCGAGCCTCTTCATCCTCCTCCTCGTCCTCGTCACCTTCCACCTGCTCCACCTGCATGATCCCAAACACCTGCCCAGCATCAAACACCTGTGCGGGTAAGAGCAAAGCCTGCTTTAGGACACCAGCTGACCTGTCCAGCGACACAAAAATCAAGCCACACATCTCCTGGGGCCTGTGTGGACTACAGAAGCAACAACTCTGAACCTAACCCTAACCCTGACAGGTTCCATTTCTTTGTCTATTACTAGCAACAAAATTGAATACAATTTCCAAAGTGATATATTAAGGTAAAATCATTACCATCTAATCTTCAAGATCTTGCATTAATAGATCCAATCACAAGACGTTAACTGGACTGCACAATGACATCAGCTACACAGTGTGAGGTGTAACTGAGAGCCTGTGACCGTGCACTGGGGAATTTGAACAGCGATTTTAAAAATACAGTGTGTACTGTGGGCCTCATAAGAGCACTACACTGGTCGAAAAGTAGACCATTCAGCCTGTCCAGCTCATCTGAGGTCTCGGTAGTTAACGACCAGCATCTCATCCGGACCTTTCATGAAAGGAGAACTTCAGCAATCTGGCTGGGCTGCCTCTTTCAGACTCCCCCCAGCACTCATTCCCTCTTCCCAGCTCAGCTAACACGCTGAGTGTCATCCACCGAAGGGGCACGTTCACCTGTACAGGAAATCTGCGACCAGTGCCGTTTAAACTCCTGCGCTGACCGACGGTTTTCAGGCAAGGTAATGCGACAGCACTCTTGAATGTTACTTTGCAAGAGTTTTGGAAAATGGCCTGCGTGTCACTCAAGCCTAACGTCTTGTCCGGTAGAGCGCAGCACTGTATTGGTCGGGTTGAGACTCTAAAAACATATTTATGACCGTGAGTGTCCGTGCTAGCAGAGAGGGAGCAAGATGTCGCTGGCAGGCATGTCCCAAATCCACACGCACCTCGTTGGTAAGTTTGTAATGCAGGCTCCTCCAGTACACCGGCGGTATTCGCGAAGCTTTGAGCGCAGCGCCGTGCAGGCTCAGGAAGAGCTCGTACGCGTCCCCTTCCTCACTCATCCCTGCTGAAGTGCCTGTCTGCCCGCCTGAACAACAACCTCCACCTCTCTCACACGCGTCTCCCTGTCCGGCGGAGAGCACCGCGCAGCAGCCTGGGAAAGGCCCTTAAAGGGAAGGCGCAGTTAAAGGAAACGGTTTAGCCGATTAAAACAAACAGCGCTCCTTTGCTTTTGCATGTCCTTATATACCGGTTTTTTGCTATATTCCGACCAGCATGAAAGAACACGTTAAATTTTCAATCCTGCTAAATCATTTTCAGACTTTTGTTTTTCCTGCTTACCTAGCGCAATTTCTCAGAAAAAAAAATGAAAGGGAATCTTAATGCTCTGTTGTGACAGGCTGTCGAAGCCCCTGTCCTCACGCCAGAGGTCAAGTTCAGGGAGGATTCCTCCTCAACCGCAGCAGCCAGCAGTTACTGCAGAGATGATGATCCACAGACTATTAAAAAAGTATTCACGCGCGCTGTTCTGCATGGTAACAAAATTATTTCTAAGTTGTTGTAGCAACCCACTCCTCCTGGACCTGGACTGTCGGCATGGCCTCTCCCTTCCTGCCCTTTCCCTCTAGAAACCTGGGGAGAGATTCCTGCTCTGTCCCGTTCCCCTGCTCCGAGTCCGGAGGTGCCTGCGGAGAGGCCCCCTATGTGTAAGGACCCCCCCAGAGCTCAATAGTCCCAGAGCCTGCTGATAAACGCAGGGCCTCCCTCGAAACTGCATGCCAGCAGCCCACTGCCTGCTCCTCTCCTCCCCAGACCAGACCTCAGCTCCTCTCTCCCCAGACCAGACCTCAGCTCCTCTCTCCCAAGACCAGACCTCAGCTCCTCTCCTCCCCAGACCAGACCTCAGCTCCTCAACTCCCCAGACCAGACCTCAGCTCCTCTCCTCCCCAGACCAAACCTCAGCTCCTCTCTCCCCAGACCAGACCTCACCTCCTCTCTCCCCAGACCAGACCTCAGCTCCTCTCCTCCCCAGACCAGACCTCA